GATCTGTCCTACTGGGTTACTGTGATGTAGGCTCCTTGGACGCACACGGAAGGGAATGGGTTAAGGTCCACAAAGTGCTACCAACTCCCTTCCTAAGCACTCTCCTCCTGAGCTACAGCCACCCCAGCCCATTTCAGCCTACACAAAATGGATAGTTACACATCAGCTTCTTTTACGGGAGGCTCTTCCACTTTGACAGGAGGTTCTACTGGCTTCGGCTCTTCTTCCTGCAATTCAACGAGTTGAGAAGGTGAGTCAGATTAGTATTCCAAGCAGCTGAGTAAGTGCCAGAGGCACTGTATGGGGGCAGTCAAGACTGGTGAAGCTTAATGGGTTTAAAAGCAAAACTGCATGGGAGCAAGCTCTTCCATATTCCATACTGGATTCAACAGGCCCACGGCCCATCAGTCACATTGCTCCCTCGTCATCTCAGCATCAAAGCCAACATGGTTTCCCCTGTTCCTTGAGGGAGAGAGAGGCCCTGGGGATCTAGCAAGCTACAGGGGAATGTAAACCCTTCTAATATTAGCAATCTTCTAGCAGGGCAGTTTGTTCCTGGAACTCCTGTCTTCTGCTGCAACCGGCTGGAAGAGCTGAAGCAAATGCTCCCAGGAGCATTTGTTACAGAGGGCTGTTGTCCAGAAATCAGATCAGGACACCTAAGCTCTGGCTCCTTGGAAAGTGCAATACAGCCTTCCATCTGGGCATGCCCCACCAACCCACATGCAAATATGAGAGCACGCTTTGGACAACAGAGCTATGTGGTGGCACACTATGAGGATGGTTACATTGGAGAACTGTAAAGCTCTATTAATAACAAGACTTAGTTTCACGTGCAGTAAAATCACTGGAGCCACCTGAAATGATCTTCTGGGTGGTTTTAAATGCCCACATTTTATATTTTGGACTATGCTTATATTTAACAGCTATGAAATAACAAGCGTAGGAGTTAATGAAAGAAAAGGCTGAGATATATCCCTGGCTTCTCTTTATGACTGGCTCAGACTTAAGGATATGTAAACTGTAAAGCTTCAGGGCCTGATTCTGCAGTCATCCTGGAAACTGCTGATAAGTAGGGTTACATGGTTGCTTCAGTATTTGCAGGGTGACAGACTTACTTTAATACTAGCAATCCAACTGTTAAGAACCCAGCATTTAAGTCTCTCACTGGATTTCTTACGTTTCAAGGCGTTTTACCAGCTAAACACACAATGTATGTACAATGATTGGCATCAGGTCTGCTGCTGGTGTATGCAGGTGAAATACTAGAGCCACACCTGCTTGCATCAGTTCTGAATTTTAGCCAAGATGCCACAGGCCAGAGATTTTGTTGGACTTGAAGACAACTGCCAAAATGTTGTGTCTGCAGTATCTTTTGTCTTATCAGGCTTTGGAACTGGGAGATAAACAAACTGAGTGATATTAGTTTTTGCAACGCTATTGCCACACAAGAAGCCTCCAGCTTCCTGAGTACAGTAAAACCCGCGTTATCTAGCACCTTACAAACTGTCATGCTCTATTAACCATTTTGCTCTATTAAACAGCATGCCGGTTTGTAAGGTAAAAGTGAAACTGGAAGTGCCCACCGTGGCATTTTTGGTTTCACCGAGTACCCACAGCCCAGGGCAAAGCAGTCCGCGCTGCCACCCCTTCCTGTCGCCCGGCACACTGACGCGGCAGGAGGGGCGGTGCACACCGAACACAGCAGGAGGGGCGGGACAGGGTAACCAGCCTCTCAGATAACAGGCATGTTTGGTTATCCGGCACCCCTCATTCCTCATGGGTGCCAGATAACAAAGCTTTGCTGTACGTGGAAAATGCAGTTGGGATGAGCACCTTCTCATGGCTGCTATACTCTGCTTCTCAAAGGAGAGAGTTGGAACCAAATGATACATATGACCAAACCCCAGCGCCACGTCTGCAAATCTCATTCTGACCTTCTACTAGAATATTTTTCTGCTGGAAACAGGAAAGATGGGCAGAAAGCTTTAAGTACTTAATGTTAACCCACAAGGGTGGGCCTTCACCAACTTGGAAGGAGCCTGGCCGTAAGGAGAAAGAATTAGCACTGCCAGGTGCAATCACTCATTTCCATGTTTTCCAGCTGATAAAATTTGCTGTCCAGGGGTGATGGTGGCCTGGGGATATGCCCATTTACTTCCTACCCAAGGCTGGGTAGGAAATGTGTCCAATTCTGTAACACAAGCCAGGTACTAAGATTATGCCTTCCAAAGAGCCCTGCTAGTAACAATGTAAAGTACACCAGAAAGTTCCACACAACAGTGAAGCAGATCCATTACCTGATCACAGTGCCAGAGACCAGACAACATCAGGCAAATTAGAACAGAACTATGCCCAAAAACACTGATAGCGTGATAATCTTGTGGTAATAGGACTTACCTCCGTTTCTTCTCCCAAGACATCTTCTTCATTAGCCTCTTCTTCAGCTAGAAGAATTTAAAAAACATCCCACAGATAATTGCTACTGCAAATCAACAGACTGGCCTGAAATAGAACTTGGATACAGACTCCTAGAATGCTGGTGTTCTCCACACACACCAAGAAATCAGTGCTGAGAGGTTTCTATTCAGGTTCTTCTTTCAGGAAGCACTGTGATACCTGATTACATATAAGACATGCACACTGCAGCACTCTGGAAAGGACTGTTTAAGGCAGTAGCACTGGGAGCAAAGGAAAAAAAAAAAAAAAAAAAGAGCCTACCCTTAAGATAGGTCCAGTCTTGCTCTGGCTCTCCAAACAGTACCACCACTGTATGAGAGCTCTGTCTGATTAACACCTGCTGGATGGAACCCAACAGCAGGACTGCTCCAAGGACCATGATGCCAAGGAGCTATCTCCTCAGAGGCTGCAGCCCTGAGACACCCAGTCAGCATTCTTACAGCAAGCCCAAGCCCAGGAAAGTTGACTCCAGCAGAAAGTCTGACCTACCGTGCTCCTCGAGGTATGCCTGGAGTCGGTTTATGAGGTCCTGTTTGTTTCCTTTTGCCTCCAGGCCACGGGCTGTACATTCCTGTTTCAGTTCAGCAAGCTGCATGAGAGAATAGCCTTCCTGTTAGTACACGTCACCCATGTGAGCCATGAACAGGCTAGACCCAAACCCAAAGAGGGACGTCAAGGGCACAGTCACTGACAAAGGAATAGCAACACGGCCAGCTGGTCAGAGCAGGGGGATTACAAGCCTGGTTGCCTGGATTCCTCCTAGCTTTGATAACTCTCTCTAATGGCAGTCACCAACTGCTGAAGCTTCCTTAGCCTGACGAAGGGTTTTTGAACCCGAAAGCTTGCTTAATAACTATTCTCCAACCATTTGGGTTGGTCTAATAAAAGATATCAAATTCACCCAAGGAACCTTGTCTGCCTATGTCCTTAGATCAACACCGCTACAACCCAAACCCCTCTACATGGCTATGACACTTACTTAACCCGCTCCCCTTCCCCCCCCACCAACAACCAGGAACCCACAAAACCAAGTGGCCATGGCACAGTGCTGCCCTAGACAGAAGTGAGAACATCTCATACAATTTCTCCATCTCTCAATTTCCAGTATTCTTCCTGTGCCTTCACTTCACTCCATTAATAAAACTCCTCAGTCCCCCAAAAGTTGAGCAGGAGCTCAAGGAAGACCAAGGATTTACTGTAAGTAGAGGCCCTAATTCCACGCTGTATCTCAGCACGACAGGCCCGCTTCACATCCTGTGGGTTTTATGCTGTCCTGAAAGCAGAGTTCACACCCCACGTGAAACAAAACTGGCAGAGGAGTTACATTTGCTTGCTGTGTGTAACAAAGCATCTTTCATCACACCTGCTAAGGGTAACTAACCTCCACGGTCATGCCAAAAAAAAACAAGCTCTGAAGACCTGGCAATTACCTCTTGCAGCACCTAGACACTATGTTAATGAGCAATTGCAAAATACGAAGGTGGTGAAACTTCACAGGAGACAGCATGGCATGGTAGAGGCTCCGGGGGGCCTGCGCCGAGGTGGAGCCGGAAAGCAGGTTTATGAAACTTGCCCTCCGCTGTGTCAGTGATTTGTCAGCACCTCGGACAAGATACTTCATCCCTCTGGGACTTGGCTTCACCCAATGACATAAAGATACGTCCCTCCACATGTCACAGTCCACACAGATTAAGGTGAAAGGCCACGCCTCTTAGGAGATATTATTTATTCCACTGTACAGGATACGTGAGAAGAAAGACAGCCCTCAGATCACCCAGTCCACCCGCCAGGGCTCAGCACAGCACTCCCCAGAGGACCCTTTACCCAGTCTAATTTTCAGGGTCTCAAGCAGGCCCCAGGGCCTTCCTCTCGCTCTCTGCAAGACCGTTTCACATTCAGAGCTAGCCACTGCCAAAGTACCACATCCCCTCTGGTCTCTGGGCGCGTCTGCAATCGTGAAGTATCCGGGGAAACGTCCTTATTCTCCGACCAGGGATGCACTGAACGCCTCTGCACACCTTGGCACAGGTCCCTTGCTCGCAGCAACCAGCGTTTACCCTCCCTATAATCAGGCCCTTCCCAAACCGGGCCGGTCCCCGGACAAGCCAGCAAGAGTCGGCTTTTGGGAAGCCCACGCAGAGGAGCCCACAGGGGCCGCGAGAACAAAGGTCCACGAGCGCTGCGGGAAACTGGCCTCGGCTCAACTTCCCCCCTCCGCCATCTGCCACCACTGAGGCCAGCCCAGCTCCATCCCCCCCGCAGGGAGGTGAAGGCTGCTCTTCCCTGGACTCTCTCCAACGTGTCCTCGTCCTCTCCGCGCTGGCGCCCGCCCCCGGACACGGAACAGACGAAAGGGTCGCGAACAAGCTTCAAACATGGATTCCCCTGAGCCAGCCCGGCTCCCCCCACTCCGCCCGCACCTTCAGCTTATGCAGCTCCACGATCTCCGCCGCCATCTTGTCGCCCCCTGAGCTCGCCGCCGCCCGCCCCGCCCCGTCCCGGCGCCCTGGCCCAATGGCGCCCGCGCCTGCTACCGGGTCGTACGGAGACGACCAATGGCGGTACAGGGGCGGGCGCAGGCATTTCCTGGAGACGGAGCCCGGCACTGGGGGAATCTCGGTAACCGGCGCGGCACCGCCAGGTTGGGGGAAGGGAAGGCGGGAGGAGGAGGAACCGGGCCCAGACTCCTGGGTCCTTTCCCCAGCCCACTGCGGGGGCAGAACTAGGCCTGGGCGCCTGGGTCCCCCCCCACCGCCTCCAGCACCGGAGCGGGGAGCAGCTCCGGGTCGCAGCCCCGCTTAGGGCGGCCCCTTCTCCTGCTCCCAGCTCGCTGGAGGGGATCGGTCGCGCCCAGACCGGGCGAGAGCCGAGGGGCCTCGTGCAGGATGAACGTGGGGGTGGCGCACAGCGAGGGGAACCCCAACACGCGCGTGATGAACAGCCGCGGCATCTGGCTGGCCTACGGGATCCTGGTGGGCGTCCTCCACATCGTCCTCCTCAGCATCCCCTTCTTCAGCATCCCCGTGGTGTGGACCCTCACCAACGTCATCCACAACCTGGTGAGGCGTCCAGCGGGGGTGGGGGGGGGGGGGGGGGGGGGCAAGTAGCTGGGGGGTTCCCTCTCCCAGGGGCCAGCCCTCCCCTCCCCCCCCTTACATCCGCTTTCCTTCTGGCGCTGGAACCCTGCATGCCATGTACTGGCTGCTGCACACCGTGAAGGGGACCCCGTTCGAGACGCCGGACCAGGGCAAGGCCCGTCTCCTCACCCACTGGGAGCAGATCGATTACGGCACCCAGTGCACCTCTTCCCGCAAGTTCCTCAGCATCTCGCCAGTAGTCCTGTGAGTGCCGCTGCACGCGGGGCCTCCCTGCCGTGCTGTCCCCTTGCCGGGCTCTGCAGGCCGGGGCGGCGCCCGAGTCTGTTCATGGCGTGAGCGTGGGAGGGCTCATGGCAGGGGACACGTTCCCCTTGCAGAGGCCGCTGCGATCCTGAGGCAAGTCAGGCCGTGGCTTTAGCTTCAGTTATTCATCGCGGGAATGGTCAGTGGGACTGGGCCCAGCTCTGACACGCAGAAAGAGCAGGTGTTTTCTGCTCAGAGCCAGAACTGCCTGGCCTGGTCTGCAACGAGCTGTTGGGCCTTGGGCCGCATGCAGGGGTGCCAAGGAGCAGGTTGCACTTGGACACTAAACCATAGAAACACCGCAGGGCCCGGGCTGAGTTGCATGGCTCCTGGGATGATTGCCTCGCATGGATGGCTCCAGTCTCTGCCAGTCCTGCCTCCCCGCCAGACTGTGGCAGGGCACTGAACCATCCTCGCTGTTCTCTCTCTTCTAGTTACCTCCTCACCAGCTTCTACACCAAATACGATCCTGCGCACTTCATCATTAACACAGCCTCGCTGCTCAGTGTCTTGCTCCCCAAGCTGCCTCAGTTCCACGGGGTGCGCGTCTTTGGCATCAACAAGTACTGAGACCCAGCCTAACTTCCACATTGCCCCCGCGGGGAGGGAGCAGGACCATGTGGACATCTCGAGCAGCATGCACTCCGCAGGGAGCAGACGAGGCCAGCGAGGGAGCAGGACTGCCTAGTGCCTGCAGCGCTGCTGTTTGTTGGGGGAAGTTCCTCTCTGAGCCCAAGGCAGCCAAGCTGTCTGAAGCGAGCAGAGTGTGTAAGCTGCATCTGCACAGCCCCTCTGAGCCAGCTGAACTTCCCAGAGCCACAGGCTGAGGGGAGAACTGCCCAGCTGGTGGAACAGCCAGGTTGCCTTGCCCCCCTCCCCCCGCTTTTCTATGTTCCTGCCATAATAAAGCCATTCGAGACACTAGCATGGAGCTGCTGCAGGGGCCGGGGCAGTGGGCTCAGCGCCTGCATGGGCTCAATACGAGCGCCTAGAATGGGACACGGTCACTTCAGCAGCCTGGAGCTCACCCTAGCACCATGAGTGCAGCAAAGTGGCTACAACCATGTGACCCACCAGAGCTCTTGTTTTACTAAGGAACCTCTGCCCTGCTGGAGCAGCGCCTGCACAGGCTGAGTACAGTCTCCCAGCCCCGTCCTAAGGCAGCAAGGCCATCAGGTGCCCCTTTCCTAGGCAGGCACTATCCCTGCTAGCCAGCAAGGGGCAGTGGCAGCCTAGGGAAGAGAACTCAGCATCTGGCTTCAGTCTCTGGGGGGGGGGCCCTCCCTCAGAGCAGGGAACAATGAGGCTCAGACAGTGGCAGTGAGGGGGAGGGGAGCTGGCCTGGGCAGGCTGCCAGAGAGACTCCATGGACAATGGAGACCATGCAAAGTTCTGGGAAGGACAGAGTAGCTGCCCTGCCTTGCCCCTTGTTGGCCAAGTTCCCCACCCCCACCAGGCTCCTCAAGCCCAGCAGCACACTTTGTT